TTAGCGCCTTGCCAACCAAAGAAGATGACCCCATGACCGGATCAAAGACAACCGTTATAGTACCCTTGAGCATTTATTACATGCCAATGGACTGTGTGTGCTTGAGGATATAAAGAGGCTGTTAAGGGCGGGGAAAGATAAATCAGGAGATTGGGACTGACATATACACACTACTGTATATAGAAGAGATAATCAACAAGGACCTACTGTATAGCACAGGGAACTCTACTCAGTACTCTGTAATAACCTATATGGGAAAAGAATCTAAAAAAGAGTGGATATGTGTATAACTGATTCAGTTTGCTGTACAGCAGAAACTAACACAACATGTAAATCAACTATATTTCCATAAAATAAATAAATAAAATAAAGAGGCTGTTCAAGAGTGTTGACAAAGTTGTTGGCAAGGTTAAGAAATGGGCATAGAAGAAAATTCAGGTAACAGAGGACAACCAAACACTGACTGCACAGGAATCCAGCAAGGATTTCTAGTATGTTCTCTCCTGTTTAGAAACCTTGGAAGCCAACTAGGGTACCATTTCAAAATCTGATATGCTTGTGGTTCAAGTTGCACAGAAAGGTGGATAATGAGTGTGTCAGGAGTGGCCTGTCCTATGACCTATTCACTTTGATCATTTCCATGATCACAGAATGCACACCTTGCCCTAACCAACCACCTGGCAAAATCCAGCCCTGCTGACAAGAGAAACTTGGCAAGCCGGAGTTTCCAGGGTAGAAAGGCCACCTATTACAGTACTTCTACTAGAAAAAAAAAATCTCAGAGCGCTTGGCCTACTGATGTCAGGATCACCTTTACTTGCCAGGAACAAATGATTGCGGTACAGAGGGCCTAGAACCCCCCGCTGGACGTGAATCAATCAGAGAGGAAGGCTAATGGTACCGCGCTGTGCATTCCTCCGACGCAGGGGCCGTGTCTGCTCCCCTCTGGGGGGGACTGCAAATGTTCGGCTCACAATGGACATGTTGCTGATAAGACTGTCTGCTTAGTTGACGACACAACTCTACAAGGAAAGCCCTGGCCTCTTCTGGGTGCGAGGAAGGTGGGAAGGTCGGAAGAAGTGGGTGCACAGAAGCCGCTATTGAAATTCCCTTTAGAGTTGAGAGGCCGAGATGGAGGGGACGAGCAAGCCAGTGTGTGGCTGTAATCTGTCCTGGGGACGAGCTGGGCTGCCTTTCCTTAACCCCCAACGGCCTCTCACCTCAGAAGTCTGAGGTTCCCTACGTCGGGGAATAAAGGGAAGGAGCCAGCACTCCAACCCCGGGACCCGAGCTGGGGCGGGAGGCGGGTGCAGAATATAAGAAACACCCCCGCGGACTAGTTTCTGAGCAGGAAAGTGGACCGGGAACAGCGCATTTCCTGCTTCGCCTGTGCAAACCCCAGGCGGGGCCGAGCGGGAACAGGGTTACGGTCGAGGAGTCGCTGGCTGCCAGGGCGGGGTTCGGGGCGGCCTCGAGGGGGTCCGCGGACCAGGGCGAGAGGCCGGGGCGGGATGCAGGCGGAGGGCGTGGGAGAGGGCGTGGGAGCAGAACGCACGCCTCCCTTCCTCGTGCCGAGAGCGCGTCCCCAAAGACACTCTCGGCCCCGCGGGAGAGGCGGGTGCCCCGAGGGGCAGCGTCGGACGCCAGATGCGGGGTCCGCGGGGCTCCGACCCTCGGGGGACTCCCGGGCCGGAGCCGGTGACCGCGATCTCTCAGGCCCTCCTTCCTCCCCACCTCTCCCATGCCGCCCGCGACTTTGGACCTCGCATCCCGGACCCGCGGGGGACCGGCGCGGGGACGGGAAGGAAACGCGCGAGGTACGCAGAGCCGGCCCGCGGCCCTACCTGGGCGGTGCGGAGCCCCGGGCGCGCTGCGTGCCGCGCGCCGCCTTCCGCTCGGCTCCCGGAGGCCGCCGCGGGCGCGCGACTTACAAACGCAAAGGCCTTATTATTGTTCTCTATTCCGGGGATACCACTGTCTGTCCGTTCCCGGCGTCGGCGGCGCGCGCTCCCTCCCCGCTCCCGCGCACTAGCTCTCCGGAGGCGACCCGGATCTGCCCCGGTGCCCACGGCCTTCCCCGGCCGCCGGAGTGTCCTTCGTCCGGCTCCCGCTTCCCGAGCATCGAAACACAAAAGCCTGCCGGAAACCCCCGGCCTGTGCCTGGTCACTCAGGGGTCCGAGCCGCGGCTCGCCACCTACCCGGGTTCATTTCTGCGCCCGCCGGCCACGGGCCCCGAGGGGCAACGGGCACGGCCTCGTGCCGCGCTAGTCGCGTCCTCGCCCAGCCCTTGGGCCTCGGGTCTGGCCTGGGGACCGGGCGTGCCATTAGTAGCCAGGAGCCCAGAGATCTCGGTCCGTGCACTGCGGGCGCGCCTGGCCGGCCGCGTGTACACGGCTCTTCCTCGCGCACTTGTTTGCCCCCCTCCCCCCGCGTAAATCTCTCGTGATGAGAAAAGCAAGGCTCGCAGGAAGCCACTCCGGATGTTTGCTGCTTTTCATGTGGCATTTGTGGCTGGCTCTGATAACGTCCCGAGCTCGACTTCCAACACCGCGTTTAGTAAGGGGACCGAAATAGAAGAGTCCACACACTGCGCAGACCGGTCTGCGGCGCCACCAGCCCCAACACGCTCCCCCCAAATCTATGACAAGTGAAGGATCAGAAGAGATTAGATACAGGTAACGGTATAGTATAGAAGGGCCTAGTCTTGGAAAGGCACCACAATTCCTTCCTATAAATAGAAGTAAATTGCTACTTCATAACCTCCAGGGAGGGTGTTATAAGCAGTAGGGGGAGGGGCGCTAGAATCTAGCTCCAGCTCCATCCTATGGATCCTGTGCTCTCACTTGAATTCTCAGTATCTCACCCAAGAAAAGTCAGTTGTTGGTCTCCAGAACAAGTGCAAATAATAATGGGGAAAACTGCCCCCCCCCGTTTTTTCCCCCATCACTTTCTCGACCCTTGTGGCAGCTCTCTCTGCAGTGAGGTTCCGAGGAGGTACACGAGGATGAAGAAAGTGTACAAGGGTAAATCCGTGCATATACATTTTTTGGACTCACACGTGGATTGTATTTCCTGTACCCTATGTTATGTTTTTATGGAATTAGTCATATAGTTTCATCTAGACAGATAAAATGTATTCTCGAACCGGGATTATTTTTGTTTGGTTTTCAATCTCTATTCTGAGAAAACTCCCATTTGTTCATAGAAACTTTCGCGCTGATAGAAAGTCCTGCTTTGAGATCTCTGAGAAGATATTACTTTGCAGCAGTTAGAGAAGATCACCAAGAAAACAAGGAGCCAGGAGCTGCGTGATAAACTTGTTCTCTCTACTTCTATAGTTTCCTTATCAGATAACCAGCTGTAATGCAGTCTTGCTTAATTTTCAAGCCCATATTTTTCTTTTTCAGAAAAATAAACTCTTAAAGGAAAAGTACATAATCAGTTAAATGTGTTTAAGATTATCAACTGCTTCAAAACCACCAATTAAAAATAACACCTCTCTATTATTTCCTTAAGCAGATTACTTTTTAAATTCTTGTCTGAACCTCAGCGACCCAGGAACTAGAACCACTTTCTGGCCGCTGAAGGTGAGGGAGGGCAGCCAACATCACAGATCCTCACGGAGTTCAAGCTGGCTTAAAACAAGTGTGCAGAAGTTCTTTGGAGAAATAGCAAAGTCAGAGAAACCGAAGGCCAAGTGTTTTCAAAGTTTCTGTTTCTTTGTTTTTATGAATGCCACTAACAAGCGGACTTGATAGATTACTTGTCCCTGTAATATCACACTAGAAGCTGCAGCACTTACCTCCCAGATCCCGGCTGTAAGCCCTAGTTTTTCATCACCCCTTCACAGTAAACAAAGTCTGTTGTAGAGATTGATATATTGGTTTCTTTGCAAAGTTATCTAATTATGCAGGAATGGCCGTGTTCGTTGCTGTAGAAAACAACACAATACACAAACAAGTACACGAATACAGCAGCTTTGCTTAAAGGTTAAGAGCTCCAAGTCTGAGGGCAGACTACTGGAGATGAATTCCACTTGCTGTGATCTCGGACAAGGTCCTTAACCTCTCCGTGCCCCAGTTTCCTCTCCTGTAATATATAATAGCCTCTACCTCATAGGGTTATAAGGATAAACTAGTTTGCTGACGTTTGGAGGGATGGTGTGCTGTATATAAGAGCAATAAGGGCTTGTTTACAAATCCCACTCAGAAGGTTTCTCAGATTGATACAGAAGTTTAACGGTCATTCAGATTTTCATTGCAGTCTAGAGAAACATAGAGGAATCCCCCAGTCATCTGTGAGGGTCACCACCTCAAGCTGACCCTCCAAGCTACAGTTATTTCGCTCCTCAGGAGTTGCTTTCTTTCCTCGAATCGGCAGGCATTTAGATAAATATCACTGCTGTCTTTACCACATTTTAGAAATCAAAACTAAGCCTTGCCTCTTTTACTGAACACATATGAGAAAACTTTATTTACTGTACATTTCACGTACAAATTGTCAAGGGTTGGTTCGTCTTTTTTGGGTAAACGTTTTCATTTCTTCGGAATGACGTTTGTAATCTTGTTTTAGAAAGTAGAATTTACCTCGGACATAGCATTTTGAGTATAGTACAACAAGCACGTTGAGTCCTTGGAAGAGAAAGTATGTTGCAATTTGAAGGCGTCCGTAGGTCTCTCAGAAGAAGGCTAGGTCACCCACCGCTGAAACACCCTCAGCTCCTGGTTTAGTGGATGCTTCGTGTGTTGATCCGAACTGCCGGGACCAAGTGCTTCTGTGCAGCAGTGCGATCAGCACCCGGGAAAGTTTTTCCGAAGTCCCTCTTCCCGGGTCGGAGAGGACGTGGCGCCTAAGCCCGGCTCCAGCCAGTTTTCCCGGGGGCAGGTGTAGCCCTGGGCGCGGGGTCGGGCGGGGGAGGGGAAAGGGCGGGCGTGAGGTTGAGCTGGGACTTGGGACTTGGGCGGCGAGCTGGGCGTGGGCCTAGCGACGCCGGCCCGGCCCGCCCCCGTCGCTCTATTGGCCACGTCTGTGCAGAAAAGGCCCCGCGGCCTAGGGGCGCCCGCAGTGTCACTGGGCCGGCGGGGACGGTAGCTGCGCCGGGGCTGCGATCTGCCAGGGACGCCGGCGGCGGGGTCGGGCCGGGGGGCGCGAGCGGCCCGCGGGGCATCTCCCTCTCTCTCTCCCCACCCCCTCCCTCCCCCCGGTCGGGGGAGGCGGCGTGTCCGGCGGAGGGGCGCGGGGCGCGGGGCAGGGCTGGAGCGCCATGAGCAGCCCGGATGCGGGGTACGCCAGTGACGAGCAGAGCCAGCCCCGGAGCGCGCTGCCCGCCGTGATGGCCGGGCTGGGCCCCTGCCCCTGGGCCGAGTCGCTGAGTCCCCTCGGGGACATGAAGATGAAGGGCGAGGCGGCGGCGAGCAGCGGGGCGCCGGCCGGGACGGCGGGCCGAGCCAAGGGCGAGTCTCGCATCCGGCGGCCGATGAACGCCTTCATGGTGTGGGCGAAGGACGAACGCAAGCGCCTGGCGCAGCAGAACCCGGACCTGCACAACGCCGAGCTGAGCAAGATGCTGGGTGAGTCCGAGCCCGGGACCCAGAGAGTGCGAATCGTGGAGCCGCTTCCTTGAGTCTCACGGGGTGTGGGCCTCGCGCCGGAGGAGGCTGGGGGTGCGCGGCCGCCACGTCCTTCCCTGGGGCCCTCGGTCCCTTCCCGCTTCCCGCTCTCCGAGTCTCCGAACGGCTTTGGGCCTCGGCGCCCGGCTTCCCCGGGTGGCCGGGGCGCGGGTCCAGCGGTCCCGGGAGGCAGCTTCCCCGCGCGTCGGAGTGGCGGCGAGGGTACCCTGGCGCGGAGCTAGCTTGGTCGCGCCCGTCCCCCCGACTCCTCGCCCGGGTGGGGACGCTCTCGGTTCCTCGGACGACCGCGAGCGGTTGAGCGGGAAGCCGCTTCCAGGAGGCGACAGGAAGGCACCCGAGGCCTCGCGTCTTCCTCGAGTGCTCGGCCTCCGCAGGCCCAGCGTTCACCTTCACCTGGACCCCTTCCCCTCCTTGCCCGGGCTGCACAATCCGAGGTCGGAGGCGAGGGCGGTGGGACCAGCTGGGGCCCGGGAGCGGGGCTCCGACCCTAAGCCCGCGCGCCTCTCCACCTCCCGCGCTCCCGCAGGCAAGTCTTGGAAGGCGCTGACGCTGGCGGAGAAGCGGCCCTTCGTGGAGGAGGCCGAGCGGCTGCGCGTGCAGCACATGCAGGACCACCCGAACTACAAGTACCGGCCGCGGCGGCGCAAGCAGGTGAAGCGGCTGAAGCGGGTGGAGGGCGGCTTCCTGCACGGCCTCGCCGAGCCGCCGGCGGCCGCGCTGGGCCCCGAGGGCGGCCGCGTGGCCATGGACGGCCTGGGCCTGCCCTTCCCCGAGCAGGGCTTCCCCGCGGGCCCGCCGCTGCTGCCCCCGCACATGGGCGGCCACTACCGCGACTGCCAGGCTCTGGACGCGCCCCCGCTCGACGGCTACCCGTTGCCCACGCCAGACACGTCCCCGCTGGACGGCGTTGAGCCCGACCCCGCCTTCTTCGCCGCGCCGCTGCCTGGGGACTGTCCGGCCGCCGGGCCCTACAGCTACGCGCAGGCCGCGGACTACGCGGGGCCCCCGGAGCCGCCCGCCGCCGGGCCCCTGCACGCCCGGCTCGGCCCGGAGCCCGCGGGCCCCGCGATGCCGGGCCTCCTGGCGCCCCCCAGCGCCCTGCACATGTACTACGGCGCGATGGGCTCGCCGGCGGCGGCGGCGGCGGCGGGCGGCGGGCGCGGCTTCCAGATGCCACCGCAGCCGCCCCCGCCGGGCCCGGGGCAGCCGTCGCCGCCGCCCGAAGCGCTGCCCTGCCGGGAAGGCGCGGACCCAGGCCAGCCGGCCGAGCTCCTTGGGGAGGTGGACCGCACGGAATTCGAACAGTACCTGCACTTTGTGTGCAAGCCCGAGATGGGGCTCCCCTACCAGGGACACGACTCCGGCGTAAATCTGGCGGACAGCCACGGGGCCATCTCCTCGGTGGTGTCCGACGCCAGCTCCGCGGTGTATTACTGCAACTACCCCGACGTCTGACGGTCCCTTCCGACCCAGCCTGCAGGCCAGAAGCACAAACAGTGTTACACACTTCCTGGAGGAGCTAAGGAAATCCTCAGCCTCATGTCGTGTCATGTTGTTTTGAAGTTGCCTTGGCGTATAATTTATGGTAATTTATTTTGTCTGCCACTCGAACACTTGGGGGGAGAAAAATGTGAGGTGGTGTTTGAAGATCGGTTCAGACACTTGTTTCCCACAGTTGCGTTGTCAAAACCCCACTTCCAAGTTCACGTTCACCAGTTTTCAGTGGGTCCCGGAACAACTTGCTCCGTTTCCCGAAGCTTTATTGATCTAAGAAATTTTATCCCGGGTGTGTTTTTTCGATCTTAAAAATAAATAAATAAATAAAATCTGGAATCCTACTTTTTCACTCTGCTAGCGCCTCTGTCACAAAAGCCAATTTTTGACATCACTGTTAAGTATTTAATAGAATTAGAAATATTTTAATGATGACACTAAATATATAGTCACTGTAAATTTCTCGTTCTCCTGTAATAGTAGACTTGAATGCCTTGAAGGCGAAGCCCTCAGATGAACATTTGTGCGTCCCAGGTTGTCTTTGCTGGGGAAAAAAAAACTCACAGAATGAGCCTGCTGTGCATTTCAAGTGACCCTAGTTCTACAAAGTAATGGTGAATCGTAACACTCTATAAATATTTTCAATTTTAGTATATCACTTTATAAATCAGAGGAGAACATCCAGGTAATTTCGGTTTTCTTGTTGAATCTTGAGATCTGACTAAAGAGGCTTTTGCATTGTCTTTTTTTCTTGTCTGTATTTCACCAAGAGTCTTTAAGCTCCCTCTCAACACCGAACTCACCAATCATCACACATCTACACCTTGGGAAGTAGTGGTGCTGGGTTAAAAATAATTTGAAGGAGTCACAGGAACTAATCAAAATAAAATGTGCATTGTGACCTCAACTGTTATGAAACTTAGCAGCTATCATTTCAATGTGATATTTTGCTATAAACTGCGTACAGGGTCCACTGCAGGCCCTGGCACCAGCAGTTCTTAAGCTTGGGGTGTGGGGGGCAGATCCAGGGATGATTTGCAGGCAGTGTGCTTTACAAATGCAGCTATAGCTGCAGTCCTAGGGCATCACTAACCTGCCCTTACAGGGAAGAAACTGAGTCACAGGTTGTGAAGCAGGTCAGCCTTGCTCGCTGCTGCAGCGCTAATTGTGGCCCTTCCCATCACACTTTGCAGGTGAGACATAAATGGATGGGTACAGATGACCTGTAATGGGCATTTCTTGTGCCAGGTGTTTCATCAGTGCCATTTTGTACTGAATTGGAGCCTGATCGAGCCTGTGAGATTAGGTGCAATTCTCCCCGTTTTGCAAGTGAGGCAAGGAGGCACAGAGCCCTCACCTGCCGTGTACATGGTGAAAGCTTGGTGTTGCAAGTTCTGACAACATATTTGTTCACATTTGTTTTCCTTTGTGCAGGGTGTACCTGTGGGCACCGGGAGAACTTGCATTCTGGTGGTGAGAAACTCTCATTTTCCATGTTGATAAATGCTATAGAGAAAAGGAAGGGGTAGGAATATGGCTTAAAGCATTTATCTTGAGGGTTATCTGAGCTGACATGGTTGGCTGGATTCTCCTGAAGAATGGCAGGGCGTGTGTTTTTTACAAAGGGTTCTGGGGTGTTAGGAATGTTCGGGATGAAGGTTTCGGTGAGGAAAGGTAAGTCTATTTGGTTAGGCGTAACAGAGGTTACCTTAAACATTTGAAATGAAAACGTTCACTCCAGGTTCTGGATATCTCCAATCCAGTTTGTTTGCCTCTGGTACCTTAGCCTTTTCCATTCTTTCTTCCTCTGACCCCAGACAGGTTCTGCTTCCTACATTCCTGGTGGATAAAGTGAGCAGAGGTACCTCACTCAGGTTCAAGGCTGTGTCACCAGTTCAGATCACACCAGGCATTTTAGTGCATACTTGGTTGGCCCAAGGAGACTCAGTTGTATTCTTTGCTGCTGCCTCTCAACAAAGTTTAGAAGATATGGATTTCCCCAGTGGTCCAGTGGTAAAGACTCCGCGCTTCCACTGCAGGGGGCACAGGTTCGATACCTGGTCGGGGAAGTTCTGAGTGCCGGTGCAGTGCGGCCAAAAATAAAATAATTCAGAAGATACACAGGGTAAAGAGGAAAGGAGAAAAGAAAGTGCTTGGGGGAAGAAGTTCTGTGACGTTACATTCTTAACTGCTCACCAGGGACCTGTCAAATAACGAGGGAAATAAGAGCTAAAATTGTTCAGCATTTCCAATGCCCTTAACCCCCAGTGGAGGGAAACTAGTCCTCATGATAATTCTTGGAGGCAGAGGTATGTCATCCATCCCTTGTTTTTCCCCAAGCAGACTCAGGTGAAGCGACCTCAGGTACTAGCTAGTGACTGATTTTTGGTTTACCTTGGAAACAAATACATAAAAGACCCATTGCTTTCCCCCCATCTCTACTTCTGAGATACTTTAGAAGTATGTCGGGAGGTAGAAATCAGGGCAGCTCTCCTGAGTTGTAAGCACTCTTAGTTGTCATGCTTATTTGACTTCGCCTTAGATGATAGTCTACGGAAAGCTAGGAATGCCCTCCCAGATGATAGTCTACGGAAAGCTAGGAATGCCCTCCCAGGGAGCACACACACACGCACATGTGCAATATTTTAGACATAGTTTTAGGCAATTCATGACTCCTCATTACTCATCCAAAGTTTGTAGGAATCCGAAGCCCTCAGGTTTAGAAGCGCTGATGGAGAAGGTTTGTTGGGAAGCATGGCACCCAAGCATTGTAGCAAAAACGTAGTTTCCCTTTCTTTGAAAACACAAAGGGACATCTCAAGAATCCTCTCACGTTACTGAGTTGAATCAAGGAACGCAGGGTTGCGCCCCTCTCACAAAGGCAACTGTGATGCCCCGCCAGATGAAGACACGTCTTTCCCCTTTGTGCAGTGTGGTGGGCGGTGGCTTATCTCCCTACCTTGGGTATTTACATCCTTGTATCAACTCCTCCCACACTTAATCTGGGTTGGACTTGCTACTCTAACCCAATAGAATGCAATCGAAGTGAGGCTGTGCAGGCAACCAGGACCAACCCTCAGGAAGCCTAGGCAGAGTCTCTTGTACTCCCAAGAGCCCTGAGCTACTGTAGAGGAAGTCCAGCTACCAAGGTGGTGAGACCACGTGCAGAGACCACGCGGAGAGGAGAGACCACTCGCCGGCCTGCGAAGGGAGGGCTCCCATCTCCTGCGACCATCCTGTCGACTGGAACGCAGGAGAGGCCAGAAGAACAGATGCCCAGACGAGCACAGGCAATTCACAGGTGGGAGAGATTAAAAAAAAAAATTGTTGTTGTAAACCGGGAAGTACTAGGGAGCTTTGTTAACTTAGCAACAGGTTATTGACATGGGTTTTATCCTAAATGACCCTTTCTTATTTTGAAGTATAGGAAAGTGGGCACTGGCGGAAAAATCAGGAAAAGTGTTTTGGGTCCTGTCAAATATATCAATAGTTTTAAAGTGAGGGACAGAATGTCAAACTTGACTCAGGTGGGACGACCGTGGTGTCACCAGATGCGTAGACTCCTCTCCTCAAGCAGACGTGGATGAAGTGCCCACAGGTACCAGCTGGTGACTGATCTTTTCAAAAGATTAAATTTCTCTCAATTTTTAGTGGTTTTCTTTTGGGCACAAATACATAAAGGATACACTGCTCCCCCTGCTCCCTCCCACCCCATCTTTACTTCGGAGGTACCTGAGAAGTGTGTCACGAGGCAGGAATCCAACCATTTCGTGGGCTGAGATATCCAGATTGGGTGCCAGCAGAGAGTCTACACACCTTTGAGGGACCCAGAAAAAGAAGACGGTATTTTCTTTCCCACCGAGATACTGCCTGATCTCTATTAAAGCTACCAGGGCAGGTCTGATACTTATACAAGCAGCTACGAGACAATATCCCACTGAAACTATTTCCCTTACCTCTTACTCTTATCTCAGAAGATGACTGCGCCTTTCATCTGAATCACACTGCAAAAGACTTCAGCTTCTTCTGTACGTTTATGCTGATGTCAGGAAAAGCACATACAAGCAAAAGGAATTCAGAGAAAATGGAGTGGGTGCTGTGAACCAAAAGGTATCATCGCTGTCTGACGTCCTTAAATGTCCCATTTCATTTTGTTTTTAATAATCAGAACTGTGCCTGTCACATAATAGACGTTCAACATCCCCTTCCTCCTATTCCCCTTTAATTTGTTTTGACAACAGGGGCTGGGCGAGAGGGATTTTACATCCATTATTTTAGCGTAGATTTTTTTTCTTCCTGCTTACGAGGTGCTTCCTTCTGAATCCCGAATATTCATTCATCTGAGAAAAAGTGGCTTTGGTGTCCCTGACCACCCAGGTGGAGTAGGATGTGGAATGTTCTGCTCCTTCCTCCACGGGATGAACCTGTGGCCTAAAGAACATTCCTTGGGTCCCCTGACCTGGGATGAAGCTGCATCTCCTTAATTTTTCACTGTAACACCTACCCCGACCTTCCCTCTAGTGAGAAAGTTGTGTGCTTTCTCCTGAATCATTAGACAGCTTCGTGTGAATCACTTTGCACTGTCCCCCTTACACCAACACTGAACCCTCACCACTGGCAATTCTCCCAGCTTTATTCAAGATTCTGGATATTAAAAATTCTTAGGGCAGTACCAAATAGTATTTAAATAATAAAACAATACTTCTTAGCAAAATATAAAATTTCTTAGCACTAGTATACAGCAAGCGCTAAAGAAGTTGTTGCTACTATATTAATAATGTTCTTTAATGTAAACGTTCTCTGAAGCTCAGGTCTAAACAACAGTTTGGTTGAATAAAAGAAAAAAAATTTAATCTTATTCTTGCTGAAGACAGTTTAGCTTTGAGGATCTTCTTTCCACTTTAGCCAAAGTCTCGAACGTTTTGTCAGGGTCGAAATCATAACAAGTATTCCCCAAGGTGATATTGTTCAAAAAGATGATCTGTGAAGTTACACTCTGTGTGGACATTCAGATGAGTGTCCATAAGTTGCAGTAGCCTCGCTGTGGACCCCGTTTTCTACAGGGTCATGGGCAGTGCCCTCGCACATACCTGATCTCTTGTTAGGCAAGGAAAAGAATGGTTAGCAGTGTTCTGGTTTGTTTGATTCCTGTGGTCACAAGGAGTGCCCCCGGGGCAAGGACTGTCTCTTCACTTTGTGTCACCTGACCTGGCACCCGGTAAGTGCTCAGAAATGGACTGAGTAACTGACTTGGTACCTCAGTTGAAAACCTCAGTTTTCCAAAGGAACTGGGAGTTCCTGCTTTGTTGCTCTTCTACTTGAGACAGTCCCCAGTGGCT